GTATGGAAAGTAAGATTTTGTTAGCATCCCGGATTATACATCATGAATCAAGACTAAAACTTCAGAATAAATTCCAGTTTCTACTGCTCATGCATTTTCACCTTCTCCATCGCTATTACCTGCCCATTTAAAATAACAGCAAACTAGTAAAATAATAAATACTCCAAGTCTATAAACTTGAATACCCAATCAGCTTGTCAATATGTAAAGTGCTTTGCAAAACCATATCATGAAAAAGTATATGAAACGACGAAGTAAAGTAGGTTGTTGACTTAAATCTCAAATTCAAAGAACAAGAACTCAATTTGTTCTAAATTATCATCTGACATTTAATGAGGCTTAATTTGCACGGCCAATTCCTTTCTCTTTTCTTCCCCAATGTTCCCAGTCACTGCCAAAAACAGATATGAATTCTCCATTCAGAAGTCATCCACAATCGAATCTGACCTTTAGCTTATTTTTGGCAATCAATTCTAGTTAAACCCAATCATATTAAGTTATCTTATAACAAGTTTATTAGTTACACAAGTCCTCATAGGCACCCTATGTGGGTGTAGAAATTATTATGATTATGGGAGGAGAGGCAGGAAGCCAAGGTCCTCTACAAATTTTAGAAATTTCAATGAGATTAGGCATTTCACATAACTAATAGTATTCCTCAAGCTTTCGTAATGAAACCCAAACAAGCACTAAATATATGCTGATTGCTGAATGGGTACTGATAGATTATTCCAGAGAAACTGACTTTAGACTGTTGACAATGTCTTCCAACCTTAATTTCTTTATTTGATAGAAAGACGAACTCACATAATATATGTCAAAGCACAAGGAATGGGGAATTACTTCAATGAAATTTATGTGAAATCAGTTTTGCTCATGGAAGCATCATTTTTGGTATTCTCAGCATTCACGACATTTTATGCCTAGCATTCATTCTTTTCCCTGCTTTCTCTATCTCCTAATTCCTAAAGAAACAAATTTCTCTTTAATTTATAAATAATCTGCACTCATCAAAATTTATAGTGGATGAATACATAATCTACATTCACAAATCACAATTTATTCATCACCAATCACAAATCAATAATCACAAAAATATTTCGAAATTTGAAATTTCAGAATCAGAAAATGATTGAGCTTTAGGCAAAGCAAATCAAAATTGACCTTTGGATTGGCGGTGGGCGATGGGCGGAATGGTGGTGGCCCACGTGGTGGAGTGGACCAGGCTGAGGGAAGTGCTACATGTACATAATTGTCTACATAATGGTATCCATAATTATATGTGGAACTGGATTCAACCTGTAATTCAAATCTCACACTTTCACATCAACAACCGGATGATTGCCACATCACATTATGGATACCATTATGTGCAATAATTATGTACAAGTAGAATTTTTCTTTTTTGCAAAAGGGGTATCAAATTCCAAGGGTTCCTCACGGTAGAGAATTTTGTAAGAGGAGGAAACGGGATTATGTAGTGTAAATCTAACTTTGCGTTTAATATATATATATACAGTAACGATTTTGAGTACTTAATTTATGCAAAGCACCGTACTTAGTATATATATATATACACACACACACACACACACACACACACACACGTGCCCACCAAGCCCCACTCCCTTGTTTATAATCATATTAGGAACTTGTTTGGGAGTGATTTTGAGAATTGATTTTTTGACCTTTGGGAGAAAAGTGGGATCCACCCGTGAGAGAAGAAGTCAAATATAACGGCTGGAATAATAAAATAAAGATCAATAAATCAATTTTTTGGAGGGGAAAAAATCACTTCCAAACAGACTCTAGTATTCATCTTAACCCACTTAGGAGTAGTTTTCTAATTTTTCCTCCTGGTTTCAAATTTTCTTCATTTTTAGGCTTCGACTATGGACAAGCTCTACAAACAATTTGGACGGCTAATATAAAAATAAAGAAATAAATAAGGTCAGCGATTTGTTTGGTGGAAGAAAAATAGTTTGACAAGAAATTAATCTAAATAAAATAATGGTATTTTTTTTTTATTTTTTTGGTTGACATGAGTTTGATCGATTAAAAAATTAAACTAGTTGTGGGAGGGAACCTTGATAAAATTAACCAGGTTGTTGTAAGAAATAAAAATTTGTCCCAAAAAGTAGACCTATTACGTCACAAACTGTTGGGAATTTATCATAACACCAAGGGGTTGGAGAAGAAACCAAATTTATAAACCAGCAACAAGATAAACCACACTAGGAACAAGATAATCACGAACACAAATCAACAATGAAAATCACGAACAAAAGAATGCTTAAACACGATATCGCTATCCTTAAACGATATTTGCCCCTCTTCTTTGATTGGGATGCTTCAAGGGATTTCCAGCAAATGATTTGTAGGATTATAACAAGCTTTGCAAGAGATTAAACACCAAACCACAAGTGTAATCTCTCAAAACTTGAAAAACACAAGGAGGGAAATAATGAATATGGAAGACGGATGTATGTGGAATTATGGATGTGTTTCTTATATGTTTTCCATATGTTTGTAACAACATTTCAATGTCCATCTATCTCATATTTATAGCCGTGGAACATTGTTTCGCGAAATGGTGCCAAGAATTAATGAAAAGCCGACAAATTCGAAATTGAAAACTGTCCAACGGCTATTTCCCATCCTCTATGCAGTCATATAAAAGGATCCTATGCGACCGCCTATGTTCCAAAATTGCAGGGAATTTACGCCCTGCAACGACCTGTGCGACCGCACCATGCGGTCGCATAGATGATGATATTGGCCTCTGATTTTTCTTTTATTCCATGCTCATTTACTTTCATTCCACTCACATGTTTGTTGATTTTTGAATAACAATTTTTCATCAATCCCCCACTTGTTCAAAATTCAATAAACTCTCATATTCAAATCATCTGATACTCATGCAAAAGGACTTGATATCTTTCAATTTGAATCTAGCCATAGTGTAATCCAAACAAAGTAAAGTCGAAATCAAAGGTAGCCGTAGCTTTAAACCAGTTATTCCATGTGACAATACCGGTTCGAACACACATACGAGTACCACATGTTCTCAAGTTTCTCATAACTTGCTTAGTACTTTTTATGGCCTTGTGCTTATCTTTTTCAACAAACTTTTAAGAGAAAAACTCCAACTCTCACGACCTCGAAGTTTGTTTAGGTAAAGTTTTTCCTGTATCTTTGTTACTTTTAGAGATACTTGTGTTTTAACACTAAACTTTATTAAGAGCTCGAGGCTCAACCCTCATTTCAGTAACAACCTACATTATTTACTTAGGATAGGATTATCGCGAATTTTATAACGATGCAATTATCCATATATCGAATGACTTGTTGTTACCCTTTGAACCTGTGGATTACCTTTTGGTGAACCTTTTTAGATTAGGAGTTTCAATCCTCTCCTACTCGAAGTAGATGCCACTAAATCTCTATTTAGTGGTCTAGTAAAGGATCCACTAAATTCTCTATGAAAATTATTCCACCTTTGATAATTTTCTTGTAAAGTTATGTCTAAGACTGATATATCTTGAATTTACATTATATGTGACTTAGTATCTCATCAAATCTAGCTAGCCAACGATCAATTTATTTGATAGATACAACTTGTCACCACCAAGAAATCATTTTATGAAGCTTCATTGATTTCCAAACAAGATTGGATGATTTCTATTAATCAATACACTAGTTAATCCATTTAACTTGTGGATTTCATACTTGGGTATACACTTATTCATCATTGATTCATTACAATGATCTTCAATAGCATGAATATTCTTTAAATATTCCAACTGTTTTGCAATCGCCATAATTGGCTTTCACCCATTTCATCCACTTAGATTTAGTGCAGTTCATCCTTATAATATCTACCTTTTCTCCTTTCATAGATATCTTTCTACGATTAAAAGGTACAAGATAAGATAACTATTAAATCAAGTTACCCCTACAATTCCTCAATTAGGAATTCATATGCAATCTGGAATATTGCATCCACAAGTCTTTGAACTTCTCATATAAGCTCACGATCATTAATATTAACTCCCATGTTTCGGGTTAAACTCGAACTTAGAATTCATCAATATGTTAACCCCCACATTTGGGATTGTAATTGAACTTAGAGTTCATCAACTCTTTCATAGTTTAATTCTCATCATTCTAATGATCTTCGTGAAAGCCTAAATACCTTCTGATAGTGGTCGTTAAGTCACTATATACTTCAATCCAACTATCTTTAATTTTGATCATACAATTTGATCAAAGTCATTTCATAGACCAATAATGCTTTTCAAGGACAATCCAACTCAATTGGTTCCACTATTAAAGTCCAATTCAACAACAAATGAGACTAAGCATATTAATCTCCAATCGTTTGCAATTTATCACTTTCATGGCCTTCACAAGATAGCATCATATCACCTCAAATGATAAGATACATATTCACCTTATTCATATTTGGACAAAATCACATTTATTTGCAAACACGATTTTTCACAAGATTATCTCACTTAACTGTGGCTATCAACATAAGTCAATGTTAGTATAATTTCCAACCAATTATGAAAATTTAACCAACTAAATCACCATATTCAATTTTTTCCAGATTTGAATGAAAAGGATATTCAGCACCACTACAACTTTAGGCACAGTTTGTGCTCTACAAAGTATTTTCATGTCTTAATAATTTTGCAAGTAATTTCCACCAGAACACACTACACCAAAAAAGGCTTCTTGCAACGGCCAAAAAACGTTGCAAAAAATCATTTGCAGTGTTTTAACGTATGTTGCAGAGCTTGGTGTTGTTGTTGCAGCAAGAGTTTTTGTTGCGTTTAAACAATGTTGCAAAAGACTAGCTATTGCAGCGTTTGTCAAATGTTGCAATAGACTGCCTTTTGCCTTTTGCAACGTTTGTTGTTGTAGGTCATTTTACATTTTTTTTTCTTTTTTTTGTAGAGTGATTCAACCACAAAACATGATGGAAGTTAACTATATCAAATAACTCCAATAATCATTATTAATTGAACTCTAAAATGTAACAATATCCTTACAAAATCCAAATCCAAAATTCTAAAATGCCTAAAAATCCAATACATTTTCCAAAAAAAAAAAAAACAAAAATTGATATAGTTTCCATTGTCAAAAGCCTTCCTCCTGCTGTCCTCTACATCCACTTTTATCCAAATTCCACGCCTAACTTCAGTTGATTTTCAAGAAAGGGTAATTCCGGATGGCCAGGGGGGTTGGTGACCGAATGGTGCCCGACCCCTCACTATAGCATGGGCCCGGTGCGAAAAAAATATTCCCAAAAATTGTGGGGCCCGACCCCCTTGTGAGGGATCAGGCACCGACCTGTCACCATAGCAGGGTTCCTCAAGAAATCGGATGGCCATACGTCTGCTGCAGTAGGATATCTAGGATGTGGTTAGGCATACCTGCAAGTTCTGCCGTAGCAGGCTCTTGATAAGCTCGAGTATTTTAGCGGATAGGGACAAGATACAAAAGAATTAACAACTGGTTCTACACAAGGCAATCTATGATGATGATCATCACCAATATGCGATTCCAGTTCTTGAAGTTCACATTCAGGTCGAGTTGCGGACCAGACCCTCTCCTTGAGTTCACATTGCAGTTTCCCAATTTGAGCCTCTAGAGCCGAATTCTCATCTTGTAGTTACGTTTTCTCCATGCTCACCTGTCAATAAATAAAGTTAGCTTGTGCTAAATTTAGAGTTCCAGCGAACAGATAAAAGAACCTGGCTATTGTAGTAGATCTAAAATAATGTCGCAAAACACATTGGGAATCAAAATTTATTTACAAGATCAGAATTAGTTTAGTGATTGGAAAATCATAGGAATTTGAAATTTTAAAAATCTCAAAGATTTGATCAACTATGCTCAAATTCCTTCTTCTTCTTTTTATTTATTTATTTTTTTTTAAGTCACATTTTTGCATTTTTTTTTTTTTTTTTTTTTTACAAACATACACATTTTTTCCATCTTCTAAAGGCCCCCAGCATAACCAGGGCATATTCCGAGAGTGGATTATAGAACTCTCAAGTCTCAATTGCCACATTATGAATTGACTTAAAAGTTATTATCAGAAAACATTAATTAACTTAGGTTCAGTTGTTACACTGCATGCCATAAAAAGTTATCGACACAGAATGTGAAAACTTGATGTCAGTGGACTTACATATTGAGATTCAGACAGCAAGCAGCATTTTCTTTTCAGACAGTTGATCTCATCTAGCGTGTTCTTCACCATACAAATCGCTCCATCCAATACAGAGGCCTTACCATTGAATCTGCATAGATAATTATGTAAAAATGATCTCATTTAAGGCACCATGTTTTGATGTCAGATTTCATGTCCTGAAACTATCGTACAGTTAATGGAGCCATAACTTGATGGAAATTTTGTTAAAAGGCAAAAATGTTATATATGAAGTAGAATCATTTGAGCATCTGGAAAATACCTAAATCATTAGATAAAGAAAGAAAGATTTCATTCAGATGTTCGCACTTTGATTTCTCTCTCTCAGCCTTGGAGATTCTCTTTAGAACTTTTCTCTGATACTTCTTGCCAGGATAAGCCCTGTGTCGAGATGTTTTGGTATCAGATAGGATCATAATGTTTTTGTACATCATTAACACAGAAGTGAAATATTTTTCGTTCTTGATTCAAAAAAATTAGCATAGAAGGCCAAATGGAGCCAACATTTTATACATCATGATGACAGTCAATTTAAACCTACAAAGCAAAAAATAAAAATAAATATCATTTTGAATAACTATGTGTGCATGCAACAAATCAGTACAGATAATATAAGAGCCAGAACAGAATAATTTTTATCCTTCAATTTCTGAAAGAAAAGGCACTGTACCTTTTCAGAACCATTGAAGTTATTTTTTCTCCTCAGACTCTGGGAAATCATGCTAAAATTGTATCTAACGTAGTTTTATTTCACAGCTAGAAATACGTGGATAAACCATAATATAATGACGAAACAATCTAAAAGCCAATGGAGATTTTCAGGTAGCTGTATGAACTTCAGTCTTCGTCCCAGTAGGAGTTGTCCCTTTATTATGAACTACATAATGGGAATGGGAGAATATAGACAGACTACAAAAATCTGTAGTATAATCATTAAGAAGACACTTGTTACAAACTTCTGAGAATATATATTTTTACTTTAATTTTTATTTGGTTTATGTCCCAACTAAAAAACTTCAAAACTTGTCCTTAACAGACATCCCTCAAACAAGAAGACAAACCCCCAACTTCTACAATTACTTAGGACTAAGATCCCGATAAACATGCGTATCGACAGATTATTTAGCAAGAAAACCCAAATCACAAGTCCTTTAAAGATAAAATTCCATATAAAAAGATCTTTTCATCAAGAAACGCATTATCTTAGTTGGGAATCAATCTCTCTCACCACTAGGTTGAAAGGCCATCCCTCTTTGTATCTTTTACATAATTTAGTGTACTTCAACATCCAATCTTAATAGGCACATTCTACCACTACGCAGATGTAAACATTAGATAAGATAAGAAGTATGCTGGCACCTCTTTAAGAACAATTTCACCATCATTGACAATCTTGGGAGGTCCATTCTTGTTTTGCAATACGACATTCCTTCCCTTTGGAGCCAAAGTCGCACCAATTAGCTGTGCTACCTTGTTAACCCCTGCCTACACCAAAATATCCCAACCAACCAACCATTATCAAGTTTATCTCACATATGAATTTACTAGTTGTTCACGAAATATTTCTTTCGATTTAAACTACCGTAAGTGTTGGATCAATTGAGTCCGAATATCGTCCCACAGAGATTGATTAGTTCAATTTTATCTATTGTAGTCTTAACCGAACTAAATTACTAAAATGAATGTGGACCTAATTAAAACACTAAAATTGGAAAGAAAACCCTAATTTATGCAATTTTTATGATTGAAATGAATTTTATATGCAAGACAAAATTTTAACACTGTAGAATGAAATCAAAGGTTGAGAAAGCATGTTTGTTGCATTCAATGAAAATCAAGCTCACTAGGATCACGATTTTTCATACAATTATCATTTTAAACCCTAGTTTCATAGTATTACAACACGATTAAATTGTTGACGAATCATTGCTCCTAAATCTATCCAATACTCTCTGTCGAGATGTATTGAACCTAGTTTTACATACCACTAGTCTATATTTCTACAACAAGTGCATACATAAAAATGCATACGGTTTTGCGAACACTTAAAGATTCACGTAAGGAATAGCGGTATATTTTTATCCTCTATCGGACTCTACGATGATTTATATTATGTCGAACCTATTCCAATTCTCTCGAATGCAAGAATAAGTCACCCAAACTCACACAATTATGGGCCCTTAATTGTGGAAAATAATAATCGCATATAAATCATTCAAAACAATCAAAACGTGTTTTTAATGTCAAATTGTAAAACTAGAAAATTAAAAATCAAATCACATGGTACATAGATCTTCTAGTACATAAAAATCTAACCTAACATAATAGGAGATAAAGAAAAACAACGATTAAAACCAAGGAAGAACATCACCCAATTGATTCTGGATGTGGAATCTTGAATCTAGAAGTGGATCGCCTTATTTTCGCATTGTTCTTCCTCTCCAAATCCTCCAAAATACTGTATAATGCTTCCCAGTGCGTTCTACTTATGTTTCAGGTCGTCTGGTATTTATTCGGGATGGAATTAGGTCAAGAAAGTGGCCCAAAACCTTACCAAATCGTGTTTGAGTCGAATTAGGAAACTTGAGATTCCGTCACATTTTTATACCATGCGACCACATGGTTTAGAAGTTTCACCACATAGTTTTCCCTGCATTGCCTTGTGTGACCGCAAGGAATTATAACAATGCGACCGCATGGTTATATAAATTTTTCCATCCGGCAGCTTTCAATATTTTAGTCATAACTTTCTCTTCTGACCTTCGATTGAGGTGATTCAAAGTGCGTTGGGAAGGTAACTCAAAGATATACAGTTTTTATAGAAATAGTCTTTCTCAAATTCGAATGTTTACTATGCCAAAAATGGGTCTCAATTAGACACTAAAAATCCCAAGCATAGTTTTTTTGCCTGAAAGTTGAAACGTGATAATATTTCGGCTATATTTCACTTTTTTGACTCCTTTCCTCATCCAGTTGACCTCTAACACTCTTGAGTCTTCATTCCATAGCCCGCCTCATCTTCGAATGATTTGCTACTTAGTCCTTGAACTTTCACTTTGCTTCATTTTAGTCCTTTTTCGCGTTTTTTCTCCCAAATTTCACCATATCCATCAATGTTTCCTACAATTCACAATTTAAATGAAATTAAGCTACAACTCAACCATTTTGCTCGTAATTAAGTCATGTTTGTGACCTAAATATGTGTATAAAAACACACTTATCACTAGTATAAAGCTTGAGCATTTCATATCTTATACAAAATTCAAACAAATAGAGCACAAAAAAGATACTGAATTCAACCATCTATTTATAAAATTTGTACAGGTGGTTAAATAATAAATGCCCCCAAATTTCTATGCAAAAGTACCAGGAATTTTTACCCCCAACCCTTGATCATTGAAAATCGAGGACTGGCGTCGGGCGATGTGGACGTTGGTGAGAAAACGAGAGAGGCAACGCCGTGGGACTGTCGACGTGAGAGAGAGATTGAAAGGGGGTTAGAGTGCTGTGGAGATGGAAGATTGTGTTGTAAATCTAGTGAGCGGCTGTTGGGGGTGAAATCTGGTGAGCGGCTATTGTAAATTTGTTTGGTCACCAGTAACTCCGACAACTGCACCACCTCCAAACACAACCACCCCCTTTCCTCCGCAACTCCTCTCGCGGCTGAAAGAAGTTCGGCTAGCCAAACCACAAGCCCTACCCCCATAACTCCATCTAAGGTAGAAACTCGGTCGGTTGGGATGCTAGCACCCCAATTCCCACAACTCCATCTACAACAGAAACTCAATCAGCTCCATCTACAATTGAAACTCAACAGAGAGAAGGTGGAAGAAGAGAGGAGTGAGATGCGGAGACGAGATGAAATGAGAGAGGGATAAATTGGGGCTAATGTTAAACATATTTGATTTAAAGGAGGTGTGGGATTTTTCGCAACTTTGAAATAACGTTGTGAAAGGTGAGACTTTTGGCAACAGTAAAAAACATTGCGAAAAGTCTCCCTTTTCGCAATGTTTTGGTAAACGTTACGAAAAGGGAGACTTTTCGCAATGTTTATTGAAACGTTGCCAAAAGTAGACTTTTCGCAGCGTTGTTTAAACGTTTCAAAAAGTCTTCCTTTTTGCAACAATGGAAAAACGTTGCGAAAAGCAATATTAGCAACATTCATTTAATAAATATTGCTAATAGATCCCTTTTGCAACATTCACTTATTAGAATGTTGCAATAAATCCCTTTAGCAACATTTAATTCGTGAATGTTGCCTTTTAAGTATTGCGAAAGAGCATTTTTGGTGTAGTGACCAGTCACAATTTGTCATACTTATGCAAAAATAATTGACATAAAATCATCTCACTTAATTTCATAAGATTAAATGAGGGTATCAACATTAACCCAAGTTAATATGAGTTCAACAAGATATGAAATCAATCAAACAAATTTATCATGTCATTCCATATTCCAGTAGAAGAAATGATCATGAAAGTTCACATATTTTTTTTCAAAAAATTCTAACACTTTAGAATTTTCCAATATGTAATATATGCAATATCATGTCATTCTCATATTTCAACAAAGGAATAGTCATGGAAATTCATACAATTTCAACAAATAGTTGGCATTCTTCCAACAATTTTTTTATTTTTTATTTATTTTTATTTTTTACATGTATAATGTCAATGAAAATGTACCAAAAACCAAATTAATGGCCTGTTTAATTGGTTCCTACCTTTCCCATACATGCAACCATTATGCATAATCAGTTTCTTGTGATTTTCTTCATCATTTCTAACAGACAATCTTTCCCACAGAGGAAGTGCAAAATTCTGGAAATGATATATTATAAGTATAATTCCACATGCAATCTGACTTTCAAGTATGTTCATGCAATATATTAACAGATGCACAGAAAAAGTAGCACACGCATAGGAATTAATCACCGAAGATCAAGAGACTATTTTCCACTGCACAAAACCGAATATGGTAGCATTGGAAAAATAGACAACGCCCTAACACAAAAGTGGCCTTGTGATACATTAATGGAGACCCACATGTAAAATATTTCAATTCTCTTACTCATGAATTACTAATAATTCTCATTAGCAGATTCCTGTTGCCAGTTATATCCTTAGCCATAACTGGTACATGAATAATGACAAAGTACATTCCCATGCACACACCGATTCAAATTTTTTACTTTCATTTGATGATACAAACATAGTAGTTTCAAATTGCATTTAAGGATGAAAGGTCACCATTTAACTGACTGAACCGCATGCACCTTTTCAAGAATTAAACAACTTTCAGGTTTTTGACTGATTACAGGAAGACATTGGCAACCATGCATTTAAAACAATGAATGGTCATTACCTTACAAACTCCCAAAATGAACAAATTTGGCAGAAATTTTTTTATCCATTAACCGCCATTCTTAACCATTCTATCATGGTACCACTATCTACCAATTATTGAATCAAATGAATTATACAAATCCACATAAGATTCATCAGAATGTTTCTGAACGCATAGCAGTTTTAACGTGAAGGAACATACATTCTCATGCCTGTTCACAACAGATAACTGAGACCAAACATGATAAGGGAAAACGTGCATTTTAATTTTAAAATTCTACCCACACATTGGTTGAATCACAGAACACAATCTGGGAATTAGTCACTTTGTCTTTCTCATTGCAAAGATAAGCATTTTCAGTATATGAAATATGCACGCCATTCAGAGCAGGTTATAATACGAATTGAAAAAGTACCAAAGTTAAACCATCGACGTCAAAATTTGGGGACGTTCCGAATGCACAGACATGTTGGAAACAAGATGCATTCCAGATTGGCTTATAAATCTCAAATTCAGAACACATATAATGCCAAAAAGGACAACAATTAATCCTTCACAAATCTATATGATTGTCCAATATTCAGACAGCATACTAACATAAGGATTGCACAATACACTACCGAAGTGTGATATGAATATAAATGCACATGAAAACATAACTTCATCTTTAAGATTCTTTTGGTGATAGCATACCAATGATGTGCATAATATATTCACAGTAACGTACCTTTCATTTTCATGAAATCGAATCTAGTTTCAACTTACTGAATTTGGATTTGAGAGGACGTAATGATAATCATTCCAGATTTCTTTTCATGAGATTCGTCTCATCGAACAGCCAACAAGATCTGGATTCATGTCTTTCTTCCAATCTAACCATCTCGTGAAGTTGGTGCCATCAAATGTTCCACATGAACAAATCTCAATCCATCAACTTGATCATCGTCGAAGTGATTTCGTTCTCCACCGCAAAGTATCATTTGAGATCGTTGGGAATTTATCATAACACCAAGGGGTTGGAGAAGAAACCAAGTTTATAAACCAGCAAGAAGATAAACCACACCAGGAACAAGATAATCACGAACACAAATCAGCAATGAAAATCACGAACAAAAGAAGGCTTGAACACGATATTGCTGTCCTCAAACGATATTTGCTCCCTCTCCTTTGATTGGGATGCTTCAAGGGATTTTCGACAAATGGTTTGTAGGATTATAACAAGCCTTGTAAGAGATTAAACACCAAAGCACAAGCATAATCTCCTAAAACTTGAAGAACACAAGGAGGGAAATAATGAATATGGAGGAAGGATGTATGGGGAATGATGGATGTGTTTCTCATATGTTTTCCATATGTTTGTAACAACATTTCTGAAATGTCGAGACACTCAGGATTAACCAACATTCATAGAAACCGAACCAATAAATGAAGAAAATAAATGTACAAAAATAATGAACACGATGATTTTTCGGCCGAAGCAGCAGAGGTTCAGCACAAGTGCCTAATCCCTTGTTGAGCATCCACTATGAATGGATTCAGCTCGGTTGCACTATAAGGCCCCCAAAATCAGGCAGTAAGTATACAATGTTTCAGAATATTACAATATACAAGTCACAGAGACTTATCTCATAAGGATTCACCAAGGCAGACCACGGTTCACAAAGAAATCACGCACGGATCACTCAGACAACTAAGTCACAGGAACCGCCATCCAAGAATCACATGACTTCACAAGTCATTATACAATATGTAAGCTATTCCACACAGAAAACACAAGAAATCACCAAGATTTCATCAAACCCGACTGCACATCACATGAAACCACTCAGGTTTCCATGAACTCAACACGGCAGTTCACTAGGTTGGAGATCTATGACATATCATGGATTAACTCAAGAAAGAGTTCTGAAAATCACTCAAGAATGGAGCCAAAAATGAGAGATTCATTGAGAGAGAAAGAGAGGCGACTCAAAACCCTCGAACTCAAGAAGCCGAATAGAGTAGAATGAAAGATCAACAGCCACCCAAATCATTTAGGGTTAAATGCATAGAATCATCTAAAATCAGATCCAACGGCAAGAGATCAGCACGTGTCACAATCCAGTTAACTCCTTCCATTAGTAAAGTGTCACTTTACAAAACACGCTTTTAGTTAAAATTGTGGAAGCACAATTTAAATCAAAAGGAGATCAGCAGTTCGATTCCCAACAATTTCAATGTCCATCTATCTCATATTTATAGCCATGGAACATTGTTTTACGAAATGGTGCCAAGAAATAATGAAAAACCGCCAAATTCAAAATTGAAAACTGTCCAACGACTATTTCCCGTCCTCTATGTGGTCACATAGAAGGATCTTGTGCAGTCATTTCCAGTCCTCTATCCAGTCGCATAGAAGGATCCTATGCGATCGCATAGGTTCCAAAATTGCAGGGGCCTCGTGTGTGACCACACCATGCGGTTGCATAGATGATGATTTTGGCCTCTGATTTTTCTTTTATTCCATGCTGGTTTACTTTCATTCCACTCGCATGTTTATTGATTTTTGAACAACAATTTTCCATCACAAAACATTTTGTTGTAAGAAATAAAAGTTTGTCGCCACAAGTTTCCCACCAAAAAATATTTTGGCGCCTTGTTTCCATCATATTTTTTTGCTACAATCTTTATTATTTGTCAAGTCTTTTGACATATTACAACAACTTTTTATGTCGCCATCTAGTTTTTCGGTACTTTTTTTATCAAAATTTTGCGACAAACTTTAGAAATGTGTCGTGCTAAATTACTTATTACATGCTATAACCTTTTGAATGTTGCTATATCAAATTTTTGTTGTAGTGAACACATTTCCGATATTTATTATGGATACCACATACTAATGAAGAATCAATAAATGATGATACAAGATTGCAATGAAATAGGTACTTTTCATATTTAATTAAGATTAATAACAAAATTCTATGGATGATTTATGTTTGCAAAATTAAGGTCTATAACTAATCAAAAGCAATAGGACCTCAAATGCCCCAATATTCTTTCATTTTGATATCAAATCAAAACTT